CTATTACATTACTCCTCCTGGTAACTCTGCGTATAAATATGAGGATCCAGGATCTCAGAATTGTATGAACCCTGAAGAGGGGATCTGAGGAACCCTGAAAGCTTTCACCCAAGTTGACTCTTGAAGCCGTTTGACAACTGCGGTAGCAGATGAGCGAAACATCTGAAAAGTGGAGGTGAGATCTTCCTCCTGGCGGTGTGACGGGAAGTCGCTGTGCTGGCTTCATATGACGTTCACGTGTTCCTCTGATGAATGGTCCCGCCATCTCCTTTTAAGGTGTTTTTGCTGTTCAGTGTCAGTCTGGTGATTGCAGCGGTGTTCATATTTTGCTGTACTACCGGTATGAATGTAGGGACACAGTTCAGCACTATTTACATTTAGTATCTGATACCTAACCATGTCATATAGTTCCGTGACCATTTTAGACCCCCCCCCCATGCCTCTGCTTGCCCCATACACGTGCATAATCTTTAATTGCAGCCAGTGTGTCACTGCTCCCCCTTCCCTCCTGACAAGACCTGTAGCAGATAAGCGATGTTCTCACAATGTAATGGGAGCTTATTAATGTAAACCGACCTCATTGGGGGCACATACACAACGGAACGTTGGGCACGCACGTGACGCTCATTGTACAATATCCCGGGCTGAGACACATTGACCTGTAATAGGATTATATACATCCCCAGATAATTGTCATGAAAGTTAAATACCCCAGACTGATCCGCCGCTCCATGATTACCCGGACGAGGCGTATGGGCTCCGTACATTGCATGGTGCTGGTTGGGTTTGGTAAACAAATGTGTAACTGTATTATAGGCAAGAGAACCTGCCTATAATATTTGACATGCACCAAGTGTGTCCAGAGTTCCCAAATCCGCACATTGTCTCTATCTGTATAAGGCTAGGATCACGCCTGGGCGACTCCTCACCACGTGGCAATCGTGCACAAAACCACGCGGATTGCCGGGTGGTCACGGAGTCGCCCACCACAGCTGATCGCGCTGGAGGTGCCATTATTTTCTTAAAAAGTTGCGCATCGTTTGTCCCAAAAAAGGTACTCGTACCTTTTTTAGCGATTTGCCGCGTGGATGTAACTCCATTGAAATCAATGGGGCCGCAGTGTGCATCAGCATACGATAGCGCAGGCCCCCGGGACGCGTGTCCCTGGTGTTGCTGAGGTCGGAACCTAACCTTAGATCAACTATTCTCAACAAGAGACCCATGGCACACCGGGGCACCTCCTGACTTCCTCGGGGGGGTAATGAGCCGTAGCATGCAATCTGATGGCAGGAAATCCTGAAGGCAGGCTGGGGAGCTGCAATCTGTCCTGCTGGTACTGATGGAACTTCAGGCTGGAGGTAAGAGGAGCAGCACATGTGTGCAGGGAAAGTGACCCCGCACAACCCACCTGAGACCCCGCACAGCCCACCACAGACCCCGGCACAGCCCACCTTGAGAGCCTTCACAGCCCACCATAGACCACACAGACCACTATGGACCCAGCCCACTATAGATCCCGCCCAGCCCACCATAGACCCCACACAGCCCACCTGAGAGTCTTCAAAGACCACCATAGATTGACCCCGCGCAGCCCACCATAGACGCTGCAGAGCCCACCTGAGACCCCACACAGCCGACTATAAATTCCGCGCAGCCCATCGTAGACCCCAACACAGCCCACCTGAGACCCCTAAAATCTGCTGGGGTTGCTGACATTACATCCAAAATGGCGGCACCCAGCAGCAGTCTTAAGTCTTCTGGATGTCTACACAATGGCTGTTACAGGTAAATAACTTGCATAAAAAGTGTTGAATGCTCATATGATCCAATGGGAAGGTTGTGCTGGAAATGAATTGCCTGGTGACAGGGTCTCTTTAAATGCTTTCTGATACCCATATATCTGGGTCTAGAGAACATTATAACAAACTGTGTCACTGAGAGGTTTTCTGCGAGTTAATCTTCCTCTTTGTTTCCTGTCGTGAACCATCAGTTCAGCATTTATAAACGTCTTGAGATCCGCTGACGTACTGAAGACCCAATTGCTAAAATCCCACATGAGCTTTAATATGTTAATGTCACTTTAAAAAGTTGTAATTCTTTTTTTTAACCTGCAGCTTTTTGTTAAAGGAGAACTATGGGGTCAGTGTTTTCACCCCATAGTTCTCCTTAGGGTAACGGGAGAACACAAACTAGAGTCCTCCCATCACCCTAGGCTCAGTATATAGGGAGCTACAGCTCGTGGTATACTGAGACGCCGCAGCCGATCCCGACAATTATGCCGGGATCCGCCCAGCTGCGTGACTGACCGCTGGCTCTGCCTATCCAGCTGTACCCGCCCCTCCCCTGTCTGTTCTGCCAGTCAGCGCTGGAGGATCGGAGGGGGGAATCCAGCCGCTCCCCTGTCATGGCACAGAGCCGTGACAGGATCGAGAAGTGAGCGAACGCCAGTATGTGTTCACTCACTTCCCGATCTACTGAGCCGACCTGTGACAGTCTCATTGTCACAGGTCGGCTAGAACTATGAGGTGAGTGAAAAGCCCCTCCCCTCATAGTTCTCCTTTAAAGCAATCCCTGCTGACCCTGCCATTGTTCAGACTGTTCCTGTTATGAGGTGACAACCATCTCCTCATTGTTGTCGCATGCTCTCCTGTTGGAGGCTAGAAGTGGTCGCGCCGACACACATTGCCCAGGCACAGTCCACCGTTATCATTAGTAGGAAGTCGGTCCGGAGCAATAATGTGCAGCCGATGCTGGGGAGAACGCATGTAGACAGGAAGTGTCTGTGAGAGGTCGGCAGCACTGGGATGGGGAAAAAAGCAAAAACAAGTGAAAAACAGGATTTTATAAAAGAAAAGTAGCTGTTTATGATACACAATGCACAGAGCAAACACAAGCCGGTTCTTTCCTCCCCCCTCAATAACATGCAGATTTATTTTTTAATAAAACCATTTAATTTTTGTTACATACCTGATTTTTAGTCCCGGTGATGTCATCACTGGGTCTTTGTCCTTCTGTATGCAATGCAGGCAGATCAGGGTTGGTGGGAGGGGCCGGCAGAGTGCTGTATATAGCTTCCTGAAAACATCACAGCACCCTGCCCAAGAGCCCTCAGCCCTGATACAAGCAGTGGGCGGGCTCTTGGGAGGAGTTATGCAAATATCGAAAGACCTTCATGGGTCTGGTAAGAGTGGGCGTTCCTAGGCAGGCTGTATTTGGGAAGGGTCGGATATAAGACTGAAGGGGAGGAAGGAGGTCGGATAGAAGACTGTAGGGAAGGACGGAGGTCGGATAGAAGACTGTAGGGGGAGGACGGAGGTCAGATAGAAGACTGTAGGGGAGGACGGAGGTCAGACAGAAGGCTGTAGGGGAGGACGGAGGTCAGATATAATGATGAGATCTCTGTTTGGTCCTTGCAGGCAAACATGTCTGAACACGAGGCGGTCACACATGAAGTGGACGACGATGATGAGGTGGATTCAAAAGTGAACTACAAACCTCCACCGCAAAAATCCATGCAGGAGATTCAGGAGATGGACAAGGATGACGAGAGCTTAGCCAAGTACAAGAAATCTCTCCTGGGGGAAGGGCCGGTCGTTGCAGGTAAAGAGAACATTGCACTGATCTGAGGTTGTGATTTATTTCTAGATTTTTCTTCACTCGTTTTATATCTTTCACAGGATATGAATATAAATTGTTGCGCTTTTTTTTTTAATACAGAGCCAACGGTGTCACAGAGCACTATGAGTTATCTAAAGCAAGGATACAGCAGAAGTCTGTCTCTATTTGGAACCATATGAAGCGTTGGAGGGGGCGGGTTTCACGCTGCTGGCTCATTTAGCTGTGTGTGCAGTCTGAGCTTCAGCATTTTTAGCTCTGTAAACAACAAGTTATTTTGTTATTACAGGAGGGGGCGGAGACAAGACCAGTCACCCTGCACAAGGACAGAGAGCAGCAGTGACCGGTCTTTATTACAGGAGGGTGTGGAGACAAGACCATTCACCTTGCACAAGTAGAGATAGCAGCAGTGACCGGTCGTTATTACAGGAAACTGCTGCACAGAGACAAAGGAATGGTTTTGTGTAATGCTGGTTTACTGCACATATCTGGAAGAAATACTCAAATGATACCAAAGTAAGAACACACAAGCTCAGGGTTGTTGGATATTGGGATGCAGGCAGTACTCAGGCTTCCAGCAGAGGTAGTAAGTTAGTCAACAGTGCACCTAGATCTATACTCAAGCAAAAAGGTTACAAAAGAAACAAAAACAAAACATCAAAGGAAGTGTCGGACTCCATGGACCTCTCGGTCTTTTTCTTCCATCGCTCATCTATGTTTCTATGGCACATCACATGTCCTTCTCATTATATCTGCAATGAAGCATGATAACTGTTCCTGAGAAGTCCGAGCTGAGGAAACATTTGCTGCATTTCGTTTACTGAGCTGGCACCGAAATCGGGAAGTGTCGTAAGTGACTCAAAGAGCAGATGGGAAGTTCCACAACTGTTCCTGCAAAACTCTGCACTGCACTTCTATCTCCATTGCTGTGCTACAAACCATGTCTGCATTATATCATTGCACCTGCTCTGCAATAGACTTGTGCGCCGTCAAAAAATTCATTCTGTTTCGTTTCGGAATATCCGTTATTTCGTATTTCGTAATTCGTAACTGAACTCGATTCGGATTCGTACGAAATACGAATTTTCGTTAGTGGTGGTTATATTTTCGTAACTTTACGAACTTTCGTTATGATGAAGTTAAAAAGCAAAATACCTTTTGTATTGGAGTGGTATTTCGGATTAAAAAAAAACTACCATCAATCAACTCCAATATATTAACCTCTTGCCGTCATTACAGTATTGGTTTATGTTAAAAAATCTGAGTGTTTAATGTCACTTTAATACTTAACCCTAACTAAAGTGATCACAGCACCTAAACCTTATAGTGACACCTGACCCAGGAGTTAAAGTGTAAAAATGCAATTAAGTCTCTGAACTGTGAACAACAATGTATCTTATTTGTATATCACTCGGCTGTAGATCCTCCAATCATCTCTGAGTTGGTGCGGACACTGTCCTTCCTTCTAGAGAGGGGCTAAGTCTGTTCCCCATGGTCCCTGTGTGTGTTGTAAAGTAGTCACCGCTCCAAGCTCACTCCCGGGATGGGGGGGGGGGGTGGAGCTTGGAGCGGTGACTACTTTACAACACACACAGGGACTATGGGGAACAGACGTGGCCCCTCCTCCAGAAGGAGGTGTCAGCACCAATTCAGAGATGATTGGAGGATCCACAGCCGAGTGATACACAAATAAGATACATTGTTGTTCAGAGTTAAGGTGCTTCAATGTATTTTTATGATTTAACTCCGGAGTTTAGTGTCACTTCAAACTATCCCTGAAAATGAATCCTATAACTCCCAAACCAGTCAACACTGAACCTAACACTTAACACCTTCCCTTAGCACTTACAGTAGATTGAAGATATCCTAAAAGTGAAGAAACATTGGGCAAAGGACCCATCACCAGCATTGTTTATAGGCCCCCTGCAGCTGATATTTCCCCATTGCTGACTTACAATGCATTGTTCTGTACTGTGTCTCCGTTTGGAGGGAGCCATCTTGGTAGAGCAGCAGGGCTTCCATTCCTCATGTCAGATCTGCACCCCGTTGGTGATCTGATGACTGGTGGGGTAATGATGAAGAAGCAGCAGGAGAGGTGGTGGAAGCCCAGATCCACAATGAATGAAGCAGAAGCAGGGAGATCCTTGCAATGCCGCTCCTCAGGTACAACTTTCTCTCCAGCAAGGAGAACAGTGAGCAGCACAACAGTGATATCATCAAACCTCGCTCCAAATCTGGTGAGGTCAGCAGTCAGAGGCAGCAGTGCCTTTTAGATGCTCTAATACTGCGGATATATAGCTATGAGGCTACAGAACAGGAGTTCCTAGGCACAGGAAGTACACTGATATTTCATGAGGAATGCAAGACCAAAAGTAGGATTTTCAAGGTATTGCAGAGACACAGTTACCTGTTCACGATGTTCCCTTTACAATACCAAAACTTGTTTTTTTTTACCCGGCAGTACTTGGGTTTCAATGAGAAGCTTTACTACAATTTTCATGATCGAAATTTCTCTGCAATATCCGTGCAGTTAAACCATTAAATATAAATTTTTTTTTTTAAAGCCATCAGTTCCAAATGTGACAGTAACCCGACTCACACTGGTCTGTGAAACAGCCCCTGCGCCAATCACCATGGACCTCACACGTAAGTGACATCATTTATGTTATATAAAACATTTGTATTCTTTTTATTTTAGGGAAATGTCAGCCCAGGTCCTTCCAAAATGTATATTTATGTGCAAACCCGAAGAAATAAACCCATAATGGTTTGTAACCGTTTTTATTTCAGTTACAATCTACCAGTTTATAAACAAATAAATAATATTACAAATAACAATTTAGAAGGACAGTATGGTGTTTTGCACACATTTCCTTTATAACTATAACACTATACTAATGCTGAGTAGGGCCTCACTCGGTTCTTCATGACATGGATTTCTCAAACTTTCCTTTTGAGATTCTGGTCCATATTGATGTGAATGAGCCATACAATTTCTAAAGCTTTGTCATTCATGCTGCCAATCTCCCATTCCACCACATCTCAAAGGTGTTCTATTGGCTTCAGGTCCATCTAAAGCTAATGGTGTTCCATTGGATCTGGTGAGTGGCCTACCATCAGTGCACCATGGCTGGAATCAACTTTCATCAGACCAGGATATGTTTTCCAGTATTTAAAGGAGAACTATGAGGGGTGTGCTTTTCACTCACCTCATAGTTCTAGCCGACCTGTGACAATGAGACTGTCACAGGTCGGCTCAGTAGATCGGGAGGTGAGCGAACACATACCGGCGTTCCCTCACCTCTCGATCCTGTCACGGCTTTCTGCCCTGACAGGGGAGGGGCTGGATTCCCCTCTCCCCGCTCCGATCCGCCAGCGCTGACTGGCGGAACGGACGGGGCGGGTACAGCTGGCTCTGCCTCTAGATAGGCAGAGCCAGCTATCAGTCACGCAGCTGGGCGGATACCGGCACAATTGTCGGGATCCGCTTCAGCTGCGGCGTCTCAGTATACCGCGAGCCTAGGGTGACGTGAGGACGCTAGTTTGTGTCCTCCCGTTACCCTAAGGAGAACTATGGGGAAAAGACTTAACCCCATAGTTCTCCTTTTAACTCTCTAGTTTTGGGGAGCTTTCTGTTCTTGGCCGGCGGGAGTGGAACTCAATGTGGTCTTCTGCTGTTGCAGCCCATCTTCCCCAAGGTTTGACATGCTTTGCATTCTGAGATGATGTTCTGCTCATCAATTGAGTGATTATCTGAGTTATTGTAGCCTTTGTGTCATCTCCAACCAGACCGGCCATTCTCTTCTGACCTATCTTATGAATAAAGCATTTCTCGCCTCAGAACCGCCATTCGCTGGATGAATTTTTGTTTTTTTTGGACCATTTTGAGTAAACTTTAGGGCCTGTGGCGTGTAAAAATCCCAGGAGATCAGCAGTTACAGAAATGCTCAAACCAGCCCGTCTGGCACCAACAATCATGCCACGCTTAAACTATACCAACTACTAAGCCATATGTTGCATCAACATTCTACACTGCCACTTGCTTTCCGGTATTATGTCCTGTACTGTGGTATACTTTAGGTGTGCGCATGTTTATTCTTCAGCAATGGCATCAAACCATGCAATCCTAGAGAAGGGAAAGAGGGGTCATGGAGGTCATTAGACTGTAAAGAGCGGTGAGATTGTTGCTGTTCCGTCACGTCCAACCAGTCTGGCCGTTCTCCTCTGATCTATCTCATCAACAAAGCATTTCCAGACTTTTCGGGTGAACTTTGGGGACTGTTGTGTGTAAAAATCCCAAGAGTAGACAGTTACAGAAATGCTCAAACCAGCCCGTCTGGCACCAACAATCATGCCACAGACTAAATGACATTTTCTTCCTCATTCTGGTGTTTGATGTTACCATTGGGGGGGCTGAATTATAAAGTGTTCACCCAGCATATAGCTGAGTGAACAACATTCGCAGTACATTACTGTCAACAGATGGAGCAGGGGAACACAGAAAGTGGTTGTGTTCCTCAGCTCCATCTAGGGGCTTTGCTGCAAGCGTCGTTCGCTCAGCAATAGGCTAGGCAAAGGTGTTATAAATGACCCCCCCGAACTCCTGATCCGTATCTGCACAATTTCATGCATTTGACTGCTGCCACATGATTGGCTAGTTAGACAAATGTATGGACAGGCAGGTGTTCAGGTGTTCCTAGTGAGTGTAGATTCCCTTTTAACACAGAATAATGATGATGTGAGATAAATGCAACATTGTATACATCCAAGTGCTCAACTTATGATTATTGGTTGCCATCAGTCATGCCATTTTATACATCACTCTTTGCCTCCTTACATACTGGTGTCTGAGAGTTTTGTTCAGTTGGTGCGGATTCTGTTTCACCTCCCGTTCTCGTTTACAGAGGACCTGGATAAACTTAAGAAGACGACGTTCGTCCTAAAAGAAGGGTGTGAGTACAGAGTTAAAATCAGCTTCAAAGTAAGTCATAATGAACTACAATATGTACTTGTTACTTCCACTGTAATATACGGAACTGAAAGACCTTCCTGTGTGTGTTTTACAGGTATGCAAAGAGATAGTGTCCGGGCTAAAATATGTGCAGCACACATACAGGACCGGAGTGAAAGGTACATTTCCAAAGATGAATAATAATTGTTGTTGCAGAAGCCTGAAAGGGGTTGGGAGGTATACATCTATAACTGAGTGCTGTCCCAGTTGAGGACATGTGCCCCCTTCATTAGAAAGGGAGTCGGAGAGTTTAGAAAGGATAAAGGAGGCTGGATAGTAAGCACTGCAAAGCAGTGACGTGCCGTGCCTTCCGTGCTGGGTGAGGCATCCCCCAGCCCTCCGAATCTCCACCCCCGTCCCGCCAAAGATCATCCCCATCCCGCGAAGCCCCGCCCCCAGCTCGGTAACCAATCTGTGTGGGGAGGAGACAGGGAGGAGCCTCCCTGTCCCTCACTTGCTCGTCACTGGTGAGGCATCAAGATCGATGTCCTCACTTGTTGTTTTTTTATTCTTTCTTTTTTTTGATTGGACAGCTTGGACCAATGGTGCTTTGCCATTGGTCCAAGCCACCCACAGAGCTCACACCTCTAATAAAGAGTAGAGGCTGTGACAGCTCTTGCCTCACCAAGTTAGGTTACACAAGCAGTGGGGAAGCCCGCTGCTGTGTAACCTAACTACCTGTCAAAAGCTGGATGCAGCGCTGCCTGTAATTAACAGGCAGTGCTCCGTCCATGACAGGTGACACAGCGGGGAAACTTTCCCTACTGTGTAACCTGTTACAAGCCGCTCTGAATGGAAAAAAAGCTGTCAGTTTCAGACCTGAAGCTGACACCTTTTTACTTCATAATACTAGGTGAGGCTCCACCCCACCTGCCTTCCCTGACTGCACGTCCCTGCTGCAAAGGAACTCCCTACTCTGCATTCTACGTGTATGTTAATACAGGAAGTGGAAGTAATGCATCTGCTATCATGGCATAATTTAGCCTTGGGTTGGCCACAAACCACCCAACACTACCCATCCTCAAATGTTCTGATAATCTGAAGATTGGGCAATTTTGGACTACCCTAGCAAGCAATAACCAGCACATCTGACCATATGTAGAACTTGTTATAAGACTACAAGACTACTACTGGTGACTACTACCCACACATGCATTACACTACACTCGTAAAGCCAGGTTCCAGTTCCTTTGAGGACAGGTAGATGTTTCCCAGCCTTTGATTCTCAGGAAGTCTATCTATGGTCCCACTTAGGATGCTCTGCCATTTTGCCTCACTTCCTGCACATGGCAGACTGGCATGGAAATACATTTTAGCTGATTCTGTTCAGACAATTGTTTACTCTTTTTTTTCCCCAGTCGCCAAAGCCACATTTATGGTGGGAAGCTACGGACCCCGAGCGGAAGAGTACGAGTTTCTGACCCCCTTAGAAGAAGCCCCTAAAGGAATGTTGTCACGAGGAACATACCACAACAAGTCCTTCTTCACCGACGACGACAATCACAATCACCTAACTTGGGAGTGGAATCTGTCCATCCGCAAGGAGTGGGATGATGCTTCATAAAGTCCCATGTTGCCCACAAGTGTCCACCGTGTGCATTATTCCCACAGCTTCTGTCTGGAACCAACCTCCTTGTTTTTGTATTGTATCTCCCATCGTGTTCTGCTCCATCCCAACCCTGAAGGCACATAAAACTGCTCAAACATGGAACAATCTGATCTTAACCGATTGGTCCTTTTTTGAGCTACATAGATCACTTGTGAAATGTTTTTGGTCCATCTGGAGGGGATCCTTTGCCCCATATATATGGTGATTATATATTCAGCCACTGACTAACCAGGTAGCAGAAAGCTCTGGTGGCACCATGAAACATAACTTACTGGTTTGAAATCTGAACAAAGGTTTACGATCTCCAAAGATTTGCCATTAGGCAGCTAAACTGAATGACAAAACCCATCTCTGTGTGTTCGAAAATTAGAGAGTATTCCCCCTCTAACCTTATAATTTGCATACTACTAAAACAATTAAATGCCCTTCACTGCAAAATGTGGATAATGAGCGAAGTTCCCCAACTGCCAAGCCATATATGTTGCATCAATGTTCTAGACCACCATTGTCTTTCTGGAGTTACATCCCATATTGTGGTATATTTAAGGTGTGAGCATGTTTATTCTTAGAGATAGCATCAAGCCATGAGGTTCTACAGAACGGAAATAGGGACCGGAAGGTTACGTGGTTTTCTTACCAACGCAACAAAACTTTGGCAGGTAACCTGCATGCAGTGCATTCAAAAAACCCAATCTCAAATCTTGGCTCATGTCCATTATATTTGCAGATCGGAGCAGGCAAATAAAAGAAAAAGCCCCACAGATGTCAAGACATCCATAGACAAGCTATACGCCATATTAATGTATCTTTGAAAACTTTCTAAGAGGAGGGGTGGGGGTTTAGATCTATTTAAACCTGACCCACATCCAAGAATAGTCACAGGAGCTTCCCATGATAATCCTTCCAGTAAATTGTAACGTCTCTGCTCAAATCTAATGCAATAATAAAATTCTATTTGTTAATTGTCTCTTTGTCCACTTTCTTCCTGGTAACCATGACCCTAAACAATCCTTAATTTTCTTTAAAAATCTGCTGCCGATACTTTGTATTGACTGCTAATTCATTCATGTTACAGTGTTTGTAAAGCCAAAACTATATTGTGTTACCGTTGGGATTCACCTTTTAAATTTGGTCCCAGTGACTGTTGTCTCCATCAAAGAAACTGATGGGAAATCCAAAAGGTTAGAATTGTCGTAGGAACAGGAATAGAGGTGAAATCTTCCAAATCGGACACCTGTTCTGGTGTCAACTGTATAAGAGGGGATTTCCTCTCGATTTGGACCTCCTGTTCTATCTGTGGGACAGGATGTGAAAGAAACGTAGACAGCAAAAATAAATAAATACAGGGACCTTAAAGATATCCTACTTCATCCAAAATGTTGTCTATACATACACTTTAAGCCAGTGGGGTTGGTTTACTAAAGTACAAGAGAATGTTCAATTAGCAAATAAGTATCCCAAATACACACACACACACACACTATACAGTCTATATTGTAAGCACTTGAGAATTTTGAATGTATGAGATGCCTCCTAAGAAAATTATTACCAGCAATTATTGGTTGTCAGTTGACAGCTGGTAATTGCTTTGTATTGCACAGTAGGAGCGGCTGTCAAAAAGCATCCCCTGTAAAATTACACTTGCAGATAAGTTGGTAAGTGTAGCAATTTATTTTTGCATTGAATTTACAGTACTATTTCATATGTAGAGTTCAATATCAGTACAAATGAGTAAACTAAACGTGAGATTGTAGCCTATCCCAGGGGGAGCTTGGAGCGGTGACTACTTTACAACACACACAGGGACCATGGGGAACAAAAGTAGTCACCCTCCAGAAGGAAGCACAGTGTCAGCACCAATTCAGAGATGATTGGAGAATAGGACCCTTTAGGGGGATACAGCCGAGTGATACACAAATTAGATACATTGTTTTTCAGAGTTCAGAGACTTTAATGTATTTTTAGGATTTATCTTCTGAGTTTAGTATTACTTTAAACCTTAAAGTGTATCTCTAGACAAAACCTTTTTAAGATGGAGTCGGAAAGGGGTAGACCCTCTGTCAAGTTTGTATTGGTGTCTGTATCCCCATAGGGGAAATCTACCCCTCTGTTTGTGCTGGTGGCCATTGTCACGGAGAAGAAAATCAAGGGGAAATCCCAAATTTTAGAGCTGTCCCTGGAGCAAGAGGTGAGGAGAAACCTGTTCTGAGGACAACTGTCTACGAGGGAAGAAAACTTTATGCTATACATACACTTAAATGTACCTACCCATGAACATTATTATAAACTTTTCACATCAAATAACTAATGTATGGATCTTTCAATGGGACTGGAGCTTGTGGGAACTTCTCTGACCTACGCCAAAGCTCTCAGATAAAGAAAATCCTCCTGAATTATCCAGCTGCATTCACAGAAAGCCATGTATGAAGTCATCGTGGTCTGTCTCCACCATTCACCTCCAGCCTGTTATCTCAGAGTGTAAAAGCTTTGAAGACAGGTGTTGAGTTCTCAGAGCTTTGAGATCCTCGTCATCACTTCTCTCTTCTCTCATTCTTCGCTCTGCAATGAGTCACTTCTGAGGGCAGCGAGCAAAGACCAGCCACCGCCAGACACAATGGTCAGAAGGATGATGTCCTGTAATGTATTCATCGTAATCCTACTGAGTTTACTAAAGACTTCGCTATGTACAGACGATGGAAACAACACTTCTATTGAAGGTAAATGATGTATTATGTTATTAGGGTTTTGTAAATGCATATATGTCAGATCTAGGCCTGGGTTTAACGGGGTCATCAAGCCACATGCTCTCAAAGACCTGTGCAAACCTCAACACAGCTGAGGGATCTCCGCTTCAATGCTCTCAGTCATTTCATGGGCTTCTTTATTCGATACCTTAAAACAAATTAAGGGGATGGACTATAGTGGGGCTGAAGTTGGTTATTTTTATATACATATCTAATGATGTTTAATGCTGAGGACCCACTTAATGATCCATGGAGCTCCAGCACAAGCTTTTATCTCACTCTGGTCTCATTAAAGAAAAGTGAGTGGGGCATACAGGGCTCATAGGACTGAATGGGCCAAGTTTAGGACACTACACAGTCACACAAATGACTTTTGTGTTTAAATTATACATATGAGGAAGAAAAGGAACCCCATTTAGGGTGACTTGCCATTGAAAAGAGTTTGAGGGTTTAATACAATGTAATCTAAACTTCTATCACATAAACCAGCTCGGTATTCTTATTCAGAGGTCCAGTCCTCTTTATTGCACCCAGTAACATGATTCACATTCCACAGACAGGCATAGAAGACTGGTATGATTCACCTGTTATTATTCACCTATATCATGGTGTCTCCACGCGTTTGCTGTTTCCATAAAACAACAGCTGTCACACTTCACATAACATATTGTCGGGCTGAGGGCGTCAGGTGCGGAGAGACACATCTGAAGTCCCCGGCGATGGAAGGAAATTATTATAATGGTTCATCATTAAAACAAAACGGAAAAGTGGCCCCCGGGGGGAGAGGAGGAG